TACAAACAAACAGTAATGAAAATAGTATGGTACTGGCAGAAGAATAGACATACATGTCAGTAGAACAAAATTTAGAATCCAAAAGTAAACCTACGTGTCAAAGGGCAATTAGTTTTTGCAGAGGTGCTAAAGCCATTCAATTGGGTAAATGATAGTCTCTTCAACAAATTGTAGTGGGACAAATGAAGAACCACATATATAAAAGCATGGAGTTGGACCCTTACCTCACATCATATATGAAAATTAACTCAAAAGTGAGCAAACATCTTAAATGTAAGTGCTAAAACTATAAAACTCTTAAAGGAAAATGTAGCGGTAAATCCCCATGACCTTGGATTTAGCACTGGGTATTTATATATAACCAAAAAAGCACAAGCCAAAAAGAAAAACTAGACAAAGTGTCCTTCGTAAAAAATCAAAAATTCTTTCTTCAAAAGATACTATCAAGAAAGTAAGATGGTAATGTTGGGAGTGGGAGGAAATATTTATAAATCAGATACATCTGACAAAGGGTTTGTATCTAGAATCTATAAAGGACTTGTAACCCAATTAATAAAAAGACAAAGCGAAAGTTAAAATATGGGCAAAAGACCCAAAGAAGACATTACTCCAAAGAATATATATGAATGGCCAATATACACATGGAAAATGCTCGGCGTTTGTGGTTATCAGGCAAATGCAAGTCAAAACCACAAGTAGATACTACTTCATACCTACTAGGAAGCTATAATCAAACAGTCAAATAATTATAAGTCTGTGGAGAAATCAGAACCCCATACGGTTGCTGGTGGGGCTGTAAATTAGCACAGCAATATTGGAAAAATTTCTTGTTATTCAAAAAATGAAACACAGAATTACCGTGATCTAGGAGTCCATTCACTGGTATCTATACCTAAGAGAAATAAAAACATATGTACACATGAAAACCATACACCAATATTCATAGCGGCATTATTCATAATAGTCCAGTGGTGTGGGAAAACCCAATCTCCATGAGGTGTTGAATCAATATATAAAATATGGTAAGGTTGTGAAATGGCCATCAAAATGCAGTGCTGGTTTATGCTATGATATTGAAAAATCTGGAAGATTGCGTCAAGTGAAAGAAGTCAGTCACAAAAAAGTCCTGTATGATTCCATTTATATGAAACCTCCAGAACACGCAAGTTGACAAGACAAAAAGTAAATTAGTAATTGTCAGGGGCTGCATGGGGTGGAAAGGGGTGGGCAGCGAGGAGGGAAGTTGCAGATGGATAACTGAAAGGCATAAGATTTCTCTTTGGAGTAAAGACAGTGTTCTAGAATGGACTGTGTTGGTAACAACATGATTCTGGGAATATAGGTTTGTTTTTTTAAATTAAATTGTTAAAAGAGAAAAGGAAAAAAATACTGCAGTAAGCCTGCCAGAGATGGTGAGTTAGAGAGTAAGCGATAGATTTGACTGATTTTCAACAGGAAGAGACTGAGGTCTTGGTGGTTGACTCAACAACTTGGTGGTTGTTCTGCTGTATTTAGTTTTGTTTTGTGATGCTGGGAACACAGTCCAGGGCAACATCTCAGCATCTCCACTGAACTACATCCCCAGCCCCAGGAGCCGTAGCTTGGATTTAGATTTTGACATTTACCAAATAATCAAACTTCAGAAGTGCAGCAGAATTAGGGAAATAAAGAGTTCTATTTTGGGCATGGGGAATTTGACTCGCTGGTGAGACTCAAGAGTGGAAATGTCCAGAAGAGAGCTGGACATCGAGGTCTTGAGCTCAAAAAGAACTCAGGCTGGAAAGATCAATTTAGAATTCACCATGTATCGGGTAGAACTGGCCGCCTGAGGTGTGAGACTGCCCAGGAAGAAGGGGTTCAGGCACAGCATGTGAAGTTTGTTTTTGAAAATAAGCGAGGGAGAAAAATTTACCTAATTGTCAATGCTTGCAACATCTTTTGGTAGCAATTTACTATTATTTTCTTTTTTGCCCAGGTTGTTCCTCATCTTTAAGTATTTAAGAGTATAATTTTGTATTCTGACATTTTTCACTCAGTGTTATAGCACAGATATTTCTCTATGTTTTTACAAACCTTCATTTCAGAATCTCTTTCCAGTCATTTTCTTCGTGGTCTTGTTTCCTGATTTGCTGGAGTGGTGCAGGGCAGCATCTCACTCTACTGTTTTCCTTTCACTTCTGATCACCTCGGCCCCTGCCTTTCTCCAGGGTAGATCACAAAGGACCCTTCCACCGTGAAAGCCATGTGATTCCTGGCTAGAATTGACTATTGTCTTCAAGGGGGAATTGAAGGGTTTTTTTCATTGTCCCTCTTGATTCAGACCAGAAGGACCACCTTGAAGAAACTTCCTGAAAACATTGTAGGTATTTTATCAATAAGTTCCCCTTTTTGAGAAGTTCCCCTTATCAATAAGTTGCCCATCCTTTCTCACACTCTCTTTACATATCCTTAGCAAGCTCAGCTCTCTGCTTAGTCCTTCAAAGGAAGCAGAATGGATTCAGGCCATTGACTTTTGATAGAAATCATCACAATTAAGACACTGGAAATGCCTTAAAAGTGTAATTTCTAAGCATATATTTTAGTTTAAGCAAAAATACATTTCACCAAAATTGTCCCCAAACCTTACACTACAAACATGGAGAGTGAGACACTATACCTGAAAAACTACATCAGGCATCACTATATTACTAGTGAAGTTTAACTGGTTTAAGTAAGCAATGATTGACTTACTATCTATACACTTTAATCAACATTAAAGATGAAACAGATGCTCATGAAGGAAATAAATACAGTTGCAAATCACTATTTGTAGTTTGATAGATTTCATAAACAAGACCTCAATGACAAGAAATAATATACAATGATTTTAGCAGCTACCTAATGTACAGTAAATTATCAGTAAAAATATTTTCTTTAATATTCAAATTCAGCTAATACTTTTTGATAGCTTACCATGTACCAGGAATCTTGCTAGGTATTTTCTTGTATTATCTCACTCATGCATCTGCCTTCTCCACAATATTGAGAAATAAATACTGCTAGCTTTGTTTAATAGCTAAAAAAAGTGTCTCAAGGAGGATACTAATTAGATAATGATCATACCGCTAAGAAGTGGTCCAACTGAAGCCGTGCTTCATGTCCTTTGAATCTAAATGTGAAGGCCCTTCCTGTTTACCATATATTTATCCCATATATTTATCCTTCAATTCTCTTCATTTACCTATTCTCAGGCAAAATGCCCATGATTCTCATCTGTCATGTAATTACTTTTCTTTTATCATCTTGCAAAATCCTCAATAGCAGGGTCTTTCCTCCCCTGGTCTTCTGGATCACCTCCCTTTTCTGCTTCCTCTCAACTTTGTGTAGCCCTGCAAAGTGTTATCAAATAAGCTGTGTTTAAAGATTAAAAGAAAAAAATGCAATACAAAAGAAAGAAAAGTTAAAGACTAAACCCATTGTTGACTTAGTAAAGTTCACTCAACCTCATAATATCAAGTAAGAGTTAATGGTTCTTGGGGACAAAATAAACCACAGTCTTATGGCCGGGACCTGTCCTGGGTTGCCACATGAGCCAGGCATGTGGTGTGTGTATCCACAAATTGCCCTTGTGGCCAATAATTTCCAGATGAGGAAACCAGGGTTCAAAGTTCACATCATATTCTCCTGATCACAGAGCCAACAAATAACAGTCAGAAACTCAGACCCACAGCCATCTGGGAAAGATGTGTTATGCTTGTTGCTCTGTACAGAAATCCCCAAATATCTGTCCACAAACGAAGAGCTAGGACCTCACACAATTTTCACCAGGTCATGGCGAAATAAGAACACCAAAAATGTAAACGTTCTGTGTGAGCATAGAGTCAGATTTTGGCAAGAACTGTCTTTTATTCTAAGTTTATGTCCTGCCTTTTTGATGATAGTCTATCTTCTTTGTGAAATGATAATGAAGACAGTAATAGTTTTTGGTAGTTTGCACAATGCTCTTTTTTTGATAAACTGAAGACTAGGTAATCTTGTGTCAGGTATGTAGGCCCCTGACTTCTTAATGTCTACATTAAAGGTTTAAATAAAATATTAATATGTTATAGTAACTATATTGAAATGTTGGGGGAGCTGGTTTCCATTCCTACCCCTAATACTCTGAAAAGCAGCTCAAAAAACAAAAGCCAAACAGCCCTATCAATTTCAGACCAAATACTTCTTTCTCAAAGCTCGACTTCAGCTGAACATCCTGAAATTTATGTCCCCTTGCCTATGTAATCATAGCCATACAAGCAACATTTCAGGAGATGGTGGGTGTGACCTGCTGCCACAGGAAACCACCCAGTAACCCCGGAAAAATTTATCTGACCTTTGAGTGGAAAAGGAATGAGGCATGCACCTGGGAGTGTCCCTAGGTGGGACTCTGTCCTGATAAAGAAGGGACTTCCTTATGCATGAAATGAAGTCATGAAAGAGTTAAGAGCCACTGCTGCTTAAGGATGAGTTCATACAGTAATGTTGATTTATGCAAGTCACAATTTTCACTACAAGATATAATTAGATCACAAAAAGATGTGTTAATACTAATGGTGGTGGCTGATCCAGGAAAAGAAAGCTAATTTACCATTTGGTCAGTCATGTCATCTTTCAGGAAATAAAAGCAAAATGGAATTCAGTTACACTGACTTGAAAGGCACAGAATCGGTCATTACAGACTGTCCAGATTCTTATTTACTGATTATTCCCACGTTCATTCAATATACATTACTTGCTCAACCCTTTCTCCATGGGTATGTTGCACTAACCCAAATAAAAAGTCCCTATAAGAGGCTTTGTTTAGTTACCTAAGAAATTAATATATGTGTGTGAATATGTGTGTGTACAGAGAGAGACAGACAGACAGACATCTAAAATAAGTCATAAATGAGACTGGATAAATACATCTAACCAGCACCCTGTCCTCCGCAATCAACAAAACCCTCTTATTGCCATTATTTATAAAATAATACATCTTCCAGCTATGACGAACGAAAAAGGAAAATGGAAAAAGACCACCCAAAGAGCACCGAAGAAGAATTTTCAGGAGTACACGGCCAAATAGATGCTGCTGTAGAATTAAATGGTGAGTGTCTTCACTGGAAATTTTCTCTGTGGAAATTTTAACACGAAATCTTAACAAGAAATCTGGGCTTTGTTTTAACACAACTGAAAGTATATTTCCAAGTGGGACTCATTATTTCTTATTTTTGGTCCTGGATCCTTTTTAAGTTTAGCTAACTAAATTATTCACCAGAAAGAGGAATTATAAAAGGTCTGCCCTTGCGTTTCTCTCTTTACTGGTAGAAATTTTTGAAAATATAACCTGGGGGTGGTGATGCATGTCTTTAAACCTAGCATTCTGGGAGGCTGAGGCCGGAGGATTGCCAAATCCAAGCCCCGCTTGGTCATCTTAGCAAGACCCTGTCTCAAAAAAAAAAAAAAAAAAAAAAAAAAACTCAAGAAAAGGCTCTGGGTTCAATCCGCAGAACCAAAAAAATAAAAAAAAAAGGTCAGCTTTCTTCTATTAGTGAGCTAGATCATAAGGCCTACACAGATCAAAATAAAAATGAGCTGCTTCATCTTCAAATTAAGTCTTGAGGTGGTGGAAGAAAAATAAGGTAGACATTGTCTCAAGCTTCCCAGTGCCTTTTTCTTTTCTATCACCCAATGTCTAAAACTTACACATAACCAGGAAAGTAAAACTGAACTGAGTTGAATAAATTTAACTGAGTCTTCAGAATGAGTCAGTCAACATGCTCTTCCTGAGTGTACAGCACAAAGCTGGACATGGCTCAGGAATGAGAGACAGACCCAGACCTGGCCTCTGCTGTCATGGAATGGTGAACATCTCTGGGAAATATGCAGCCGCCCAAAACAGGTGAAATCAGTGGAAAACAAGACAGTGTATAATTCAGCAAATGGATCGTGGAATTGTACAGGAAAGTTCATCATAATTGAAAGAGGTGGCCTAAGAAAGAAAAGATCAGACTTGACAGCTGCAGTCACGGTGAGAAATCTGGTTTTGAGTCCTGGCTAGAGACTTCACCAGGCTAAGAGCAGGAGAGACCAGGTCTTTAAAGAGAATAGCCCGAGGGGTACTTTAAAGCATCGCTGAGGATGGCTTGTCAGGTAAGTGAAGACCTTGGTGCGGCTAGAACAAAGAGAAAGAGACAAAATGGCTGCTGAATTAGAAGTGCTGAATTCCAAGCAGGGAGGACCATGTGGAAGGCAAGCTAACTGCCCCCTGACGGGGTCCCAGTTCCACACTGATGCCGCCTCCAGAAAGCTGTAATTATAAATCCTCCGGTTCCACGTCCACAAGTCCTTGTCAGTAACCACATTTCCAACCTTGTCTCTTTTAGGCTACATTTACTTCTTCTCAGGACCAAAAACATACAAGTACGACGTAGAAAAGGAAGATGTGGTCAGTGTGGTGAAATCTAGCTCCTGGATTGGTTGCTAAAGGGAAAGGTCTCACCTTCTCCAAGAAATAAAGACGACCACCGTGGCTGATCACTGGATTTGAAGGCCTAAAGCTCACGTAGAACAGGGATTCTTCCCATGGCCTTCAGTTCTACGTGCAAGTTAGAGTCCACTGGAACAATAATGTTTCTAAATTTTTCAGAGTTGCACATTCAAAATTTTAATCCTAATGAGAAATTAAGCCAACTTTACACAAAATACAAATCAACCTAATGTATTTCACAGTTAGACACTCATTTTAGTCTTACCTAATATACTCTAAAGCAAATTGATCAGTTGAGTTTTTATTTTCAGGTAGAAGCTTGCTTGTGCATTCCCTGACATATAACTACTTTATTAGGAAATAGCAATACCATGCAAATTATGACTGATCTTTGTAGACATTGACTTTTTGGCCACTATTAATTATAACAAATATAAATATGCCTGTTATTACTTTAACCACATCACAAACAAAAATGGCATAAGGTTTGTTTCTTATTTTATTTGATTCTGTGTCTGCTCCGTTGTCTCTGACACAGGCCATGCCAGACAAACATTCAAATGAATTTTCATACCCAACGACAGATTGATACTTTACAACAGGAGAACATTTTAATGAAAGTCAATAGAAATATTATATTAGAATAGTCCTCCATTTCTCTTTTCTATTAATATTTACCCATCTCTGTAATACTTTATTTGGCAACAAAGTCTGTGTACCTATAGAAAATGTAAATTTTAAGATAGTATGTGTACACAGACCCAAAAGAAAGAAATAAATAAGGATCACTCCTGTTTCCTTTTAACATCCACAGTGACCCATCTAAATTTCTTCTGAACAGTTTTCTATATAAGAGAGTTCACTTTTTAACTTTAACTTTTTTTTACTTTAAAATCGATCTTTTTCCCCCCTACCTAGTCATCAGTACTGACAGATGAAATTATGGCTGTCTTTCTTATAACTTTTGAAATCTTACCCTTAAAAATGTAAAGATTCTAAAACATTTTAGCGGTTCTAAAATTGAGTGATGAAAGGTGTGTAATGTCCTTCATAAACTACCTAGAACACTGACAGTTTTTAACAAAAGTGACTATCATTGTTACCACTATTTATTCAATTTTTTCAGAGTCACTAAAAAGACAATGTTAAGAAGGAAGGAGGCAGTTACGCGAGGTACTCTACACCTTGCATTTGGTTTCTGTTACTGGAAGTAGCTATTTATAGCCAAACAGATGTTGAGTTTTTGTTGAAGGCAGCATCTGTTATCCTTCCTTTGCAATCTCAGTCCATCCGGTGGCATGATTAATGGATTAAAAAAAATGTGGTAATATCCACAGGGAAGAAAAATCACTTTTGCAAAACCAGCTGAGAACTACTTAGTATCATAAGCAAAGAGGAAAAGATTAAAGATTCCTTGGAAAGATTAAAAACACAGAAATTCCACTCCTTAGTATATATCTGAAAAACTGAAACATGCCCACACAAAAACTTGAAACATTCCTAGCAGTGTTATTCATAATAGTCAAAAGTGGAGATATTCTATCACATGATTAATGGATAAATACAATGTGGTAATATCAAACAACAGACTATCATCCAACAATAAAAAGAAATGAAGTACTAATACATGCTACAATATTATAGATGAAGCTTGAAAACATCATGCTAAGTAAAAGAAACCAGCCACAAAAAGCCACACACTTGTATGATTTTATTCATGTGCAGTGTTTATAGTAGGAAAATCCGTAGAGACAGAAAACAGACTAGTGCTTCTCAGGAGTTGCTGGAAGGAGACAACAGGAAGAGACTGCTCATGGGTACAGGGCTTTGGGGAGGGTGCTGAGAATGCTCTAAATTGGTGATGGTGATGGTTATGCAACTCTGTGAATAAATTAAAGGCCACGGAATTGTACACTTTAAGTGAGTGTGTTGTATGTTATGTGAATTATATCTCAATAAAATTGTTACATTTTAAAAAATAAACAAGAATACCAAAGTGGTGTGACAATCCATGAAGTTCCGACGTCCTGGCAGCCGTGGCAGGGACAAGGAGGCAGTGAAGCACCGGCCTTAAGACACCTGGTACTGAGCAACCAGCCAGGTGTCCCCTCTGTGTCCAGCGCAGAGCAGGAGCTGCGCACCGAGGACACTGCTCTGCGTACACGGATGCCGCGGAAAGCAGCAGAACACATCCTCAGCGGACCGCCCGGCTGGGTTCAAGCCCTGGATCTGCTGTTTTTAGCTATATGATATCACTCCAGTTCTTTAACCTCTGTCTGTCTTTGTTTCCTCATTTGTAAAATTGGAATTGGAGTGATTCTCACTTCCTGGGGATATTTAGAAGCTTATAAATCTGACTTAAAATGTGCAGCAGCGCTCCTAGTAGTTCCTGGTACCCTATAATTGCTTTTAAAATAATTAGAATTGATTTTGCTTGCAGAATTCTTATATATCCCTTGAGATACCTAAAAGCTGGATGAACTGTAACAAAATATGAATTAATAATCAATGACCTGAATTTTTCTTGTTCAAGTTCCAAGTTAAGCCATGTATATATATACAATCTCAAAAGTAGCTCTTAAAATTACGTTTCTTGAATTAAGGAACACCTGGCTCCCAGATATATTAGTGGACATTTGGGAACATATAGTCTCTCTAAAGTTCAAGAAATAATGATTATGTGTCATAAGTCAAACCATTTATTCTGTGAGATACGAGAACTTTGTACACAATATTTTATAATATATACAGCTCTTGTTCCATATTTGCACATTCTCATCAACAGATTTAACTAAACAAGGTTACAAAATATATTTAAAAAATAATCATATCTATATAGAACAGGTACAGATTTTTTCTTAACAATACAACTATTTATATGACATTTTCATTGCATTGTAAATAACTCAAGGTGATTTTACATCTACAGGAGGATGTACATAGATTACACGCAGAGATTACATTTTATGTAAGGGATTTTTGCACTCACAGATAATAGTATCCTGGAACCAATCCCCTGCACAGACCAAGGAACAGTTTTACTCTTCACTCGGCTTCAGACTACACAAAAGCTTTTAAATAACAATTTTGAAGAAAGTGTGGTTTAACGACACCTTTGAGAGTTACGAGTAATGACAACAGACTTCATTTTCCACGTTGCCCTATTAACATGCGTGATGACTGTGAGCAGATCCCTTTCAACACTCCAAAAATGCCTCTAAAGGCTGGATGGATTGTCCCTAACAGAATCCACAAAGTGTTCTGTGGTTGGAAGCAAGCTCCCTTCCACTTAGCCTGGTCTGAATGGTGCAGCTAACTTCACCTACTGAGACTATTTCCTTCCAAATGTTTACTTGGAAACAACTTAGACTTCCGTGTCACAAAGCACATGGCAATTCTGTGTGTACTATTTTTAAATGATCACAAGAACTTCATGGTGCTTTTAGTTATGTATCAACCAGGTATTTTTCTCTTTATTCCAGTTTTAGTCATTTCTTCTATCAGATGATGATACTGAAGTTTCTTCATGAATATCCATAGCTAAAATTACCTCGCAAAGCGCCATTTGAGAGAAAATGTGTAATGCCAGTCAACAGATTAGTTTTCAATTCCCAAAATGGAACACAGAAGTGCCCAGGACATAAGGATTTTCTGCATTTTTCCCTGAAAGCCCTGATGAGGGAAGGAACAACATCCTCTGGTGGGCTTCCATTTGCCAAGCCTGTCTTTGGTATCGTCCCATCCCTGAGTGGCTTGCGGGCCATGTTCTTATACTCAAAATACCACTCTCAACACCCAGGCTCTTGGAAGTGAAATAGGAGCGGACAGAGAAGCTTGCATGATAAGTTATAGCGAGGCATCGGTGAATGACTTTGGGGTTCAAAAAAAGACCCTTTAATGCTTGTGTCTTCTCCACTCATGTCGGTATGATATATGTTCCTCTAATCCAGTATATCACCTAACAGGTTTGGGGATAACTTTGGTGCACAGGGTAACTATTCTGACACGAGTTGGAAGACAGACCAAAAAAGAAAAGGAAAGGAAGAAGTCAGTGAGAAAATTGCCATAGAATAGTTGAGAAATGTTACATTAAACCTATCTGAAATCAGGCACACTGTAATCCTGGCTTCTCAGGATGCTGAGCAGGTGGACTGAGGGTTTGAGGCCAGCCTGGGCTATTTAGCAAGAACTTGTCTCAAAATTTAAAATTTTTTCAATAGTCTAGTGATGTAGTTCAATGGGAGGGCACCTGCCTTGCATATGCGAGCTCCTGGGATCGATCCCAGATATCACATAAACCCATCTCCGCTTATCTGCGGTGGGGAGAAAGCAGGATGATATAGTTAGCAATTTGTTTACTCTTGGAAAATCTTAGGACTGCATTATGATAACAAATAACTTCAGCTTTTGAGATTTGTTAATAATAGTTACAGCCTCTACAGAGCAGAGGATATCAGAAGTCACATTCCACTGCCCAATGACTATAGTATGTCACTTTGCTAAATTTTAAACATATTTCCATATCTGAATTTGTTGTGCAGGATTACTATCTATGCACTGAGTGAAATGCATACCTAGAAGTGTAATCATTGGGTTGTAATCTATGCGTATGTTTAGCTTTAATATACACCACTAAGTCATTTTCAAAATGGTTGTAATGTCTTAATGTGCATACTCTGCAATGAATAGAGTTGTGTTTCATTGACTTTTATTATATGATCTCTTTTATTGAGGATTTATTTTATGCCAGACATTGTTTAATGCTTTGCACATATTGCTTCACTTAATCTATACCGTTCAATGAGGTAGAAATTACTGCTTTCTCCACGTTCGGGTTAAGCGCGTTATCCCAGTCACATATCTAAAAGGAGGCAGAGCAAGGATAGAACGGCTTCACTGCAATAACCTCAGAGCAAACACATATGATAACTATCTCTCACGAACACTGAAGGAACAGCAGCATTTCGTCCTGTGCATAAACCAAGTCAGCTCTGTACAGAGCTACCCTGAGGGCTGAGGAAAAGAGCCAGGAGCTTCCAGACGTCCTCAGCATGGGAAGGCTCCGGTGACTGGGAGGAAGGAAGGATGGGGGGTGGGCAAGGCTGGGAGCTGAGGAACGAGCGGGGGAGACCAGGGGCTGTGTGCCCCGGCTCACTCTGCCCTCGGCGTCTGCAGCCCCACACGTTCGCAGCTGACCCCTCAGCCACGAGGCTTCTGATTCTCGAGCTCTGAGAATAACATGAGCCTCAGCATCCTCGAGGCAGGAGTGATTTTTACACACATTTTGCCTTTCCCAGGGGAAACATTACCAGGTTATTTCTTCTGGAACGCCTCTCTTTGTTCTCTCACTGTTTATTGTTCCTAAGTGAGTTTTTTTTCCCCTCTCTTCCTCATTCCACGGGTGCTTATCGACCACTGGGCACCGGGCTGATGGGAATTTCTCTTAAATGCTCGCGGTCTCTTTGAAGAGCCCCACCTTGCAGCCTTAAGGGAAACTCTGGGCAGGATGCCGGAGCCTTGCTGCAGCCCACAAGTGCAGCGGTTCTGCCTACAGACAGATCAGCAGTCTTCCAGTCTTGGAACTCTCTCTTGTCTCCTTTGAGAGAGGGAACGCCTGAGAGACTCAGTCTGCTTCTTTAAGGTCCGGGACAGGACCTCATCTGACCCTTTGGACGGACACCTCCCTGAGGGAGCTTAGGGCATTACATTTTAGCTCAACTGTCTCCAAATTTCCACCTTCCAGGCCATGTTCTTCTTAGGAAAGAACTAAGTATAAAAAAGTAGTTCCTCAAACACAAAAGTGAGAGTCCTGTCCTGCACTGGGTCTCGAGTCACCCCTTTCCCTCTATGATCTCACACCGCCCCAATCCTCCTGAGCATGTCCGTGTTGCGGGGGCTCCTGCTCTCCACGGGGTCCTCACCTTCTCTCCAAACTCCTTCCCCGAGCACAGTCATGCTTACCTGTGCTCCGTCACCCTTCCTGGGCCTGGAACAGCTTCAACCTGGACATAGCGCGTCTTCCACAACACCCAACTCAGGAATTTACAGTGTCAGTGGCAGCAGTGGATGTATTGCAAGTTTAAGACTGAGACTGGAGTCCAGAAAAGCAAACAATACACAAACGAGCATCAGACCTCCTCCTTGCAACCTTCCCTCGCCAGTCTCATCACGATATCCTTTCCTGACTGTCTTTCTTTTCAGGCCCTAGTCTCCACAGGTGCTGTGGTCTCTTCTTGCTTTTGGCTGTCTTCTTTTCCCACTTCTCCAAATTCAAAGACTTTGATTGTTTCCTTGACAACACCAGGAAAATATATAATTCCCATGACCTTATTGCATACCCTGGTTGAGCTTCCTCGCCCTCCATTTCCAGTTTCTTGGATCGTGACTTTCAAAACCAAAATGCCATAAATGGCGTTCTCAGAAGGAAAATGTTCCTTAGGGTTCCAACTAAGCCAGTAGTAACTCAGATCTCTGAAAGTGTTTAACAGCTTCAAAGCTTCCAGTTCAAATGTTTGTTGTTTCATAGTGGAAGCACCAGTGTTTCCCTCTCCCGAGAGCCTGTAGGCAGAGTGGCAGTTCATAATCTACTTTCCCCATTTCCTGAGAAAACATCCAACCTGAGGCTCTTTTTTCTCTGCATTCAAACACTTCTTAAAGACATAGTCTCCTAGACAGAAGTCAAGTCTCTGCCGTGAGGAAAAGCTCACTTGAAGGACTAGCCATATCAGAGGACGCAAAGCATTCTTTTCTCCACTATTCCTTCTGGGACAATAAGGCAGTCTGGATTTTGGAGCAAATATATGAAGTCAGTTTAAATAACAAAATCTTTCCACATACATAAGATCCAAACATGCTTTCAACTTCAAGATATATTTACATTTCAGAGACTAAGTCTTATTTCCTAGGGTCCTTGGGAAAGAAACTTTTTTGCTTCCCTACTCTATACCAAGAGTTTAATTATCAGAATAGCTCTGGAGGTGGGATTACTGTCACCTAACAAGCAGTATAAGCCAGCT